AAAAAAAAAAAAAAACTGATTACATTCGGTGCCATGTTGAATTTTGAGGATATGCAGTTGAATTTTCTTGATCTTTTAGGTATGATGCCCGCCATAGTGTACGCTATATGTGATTTTCCTATTTCGTCTCCTGTGAAATCCTTTGGCATATAAAATAATCTTTTTATTCGCTTTTTTTTTTTCTTGTTTAATTGTTAATGGTTTCTATGATCTATATCCTTATGAATATCCCTTTGAAACTGCATTCGCAGAATTGTATGCTTTATTTGGTGGAACATTATATTTTTTCTCATTCCTTTTTTTTAACGAGCAACTAATAAGAATAATATCAATTGCTTTTCCTTTCTTCCTAAGCCTATCGAAAGCTAGCCAGGAGTTACCATCCGGATGTGAACAAGTAAGTCCTAAAAATCACTTTTTTTTTATTATAATTTTTTTTTATTGGCTTTTGTTAGGCAATATGCATGAAGCAGTGAAGCATATGAATTTCGCTCTTGAAAGCTGCACGAGCATTATAAGTGAAATATAAGTTTCTTATAAGATTCTGTTTTGATGGTATTTATATGTCAAATGCAGAGAAGTTAGTGCAGAGGAAAAGTTCAAGGAGATAAGTAATGCATACGAGGTTACAATAACACTATCCTTAATCCATTAACGGTTGGATAAATTTGAAGGCCTATTTATCGATATATGACAAACTATTCACTGTAACAGGTTTTATCAGATGATGAGAAACGCTCGATTTATGATACATATGGGGAAGCAGGTCTCAAAGGAGCAGGCATGGGCATGGGGGTAAGCATTTTTTGCTGTATAGTTATTATAAAACCGAGTCATGAGAGAAGGAAAAAAAGAAAGAAAGAAACGAGAGAAAGCGAAAGATGCAGTGATTGATTACAGATTATTTTTCGTCTTGTAGGATAATAGTGTTGGAAAAAAATGAATCAAAATTTTGAGATTGGGAACAAATATAGGATGAAAATATTATGACTAAAGTTGACGTGATACAAATAGTAAAATAATGTTTGAGAATGATTGGTACTTACAAAATACTTGGATGGGGCGATGGGCGATGGGCGAATAGTGAATTTTATTGGAAAATATAAGATGATTTTCGGTTTTAATTTTTTTTTAATCGTGTTGGTGAAATTGAGGAGAAAAAAAAATGAGAGGAAGAATTAATGTATTTTCCAAAGTTTTCCATACCTAATCACAAGTTCATTGAAAAAACTACTCACAGGAAAACGTTGATGTGATGCAAAATAGGAGGAATAAATATACGATAAAAATATAATCATTAAAGTTGATGTGATATAAAATAGTAAAATAACGTTTAGAATGATTGGTAGATAGAAATACTTTGGTGGCCGATTAGTGAATTTTGTTGAATAATATAAAATAACTATCAGTTTTTATTATTTGAGATCATGTTGGTGAAATTGAGGAGGAAAAAAAAATGAGAGAATGAATAATGTATTTTTTGAAAGTTTTCCATATCCAATCAAATGTTCATCAAAAAAAGTCAAAAATGCATTTTTAGTCCGGTTTGTTTAATGCCATAGCAATTTTAGTCCCAAGGTTCCTACTTTTTCGCTTTTGGTCATGTGATTTAATATTTTGGTGCAATTGAGGACTGAAATTGCAACCAAATTTTAAATTACGTGATTGGAATTTCAACAAAATTTAAATTATAGGACTTAAATTGTTAATAAAAAATATATAAATTTATGAATTTGTTGCAATTTCAGTTCTCAAATGACTGAAATCACAACAATATATTAAATCATAGAACTAAAAGGCAAGGCGAAATGTTAGAATCTTGGGACTAAAATTGTTGTATGGCGTTAAACAGCAGGACTAAAAATGCAATTTAGTCTCGAAAAAATGTTCTCAAACGAAAACGACGCGAGATTTTTTTCCATATTCCATAATAATAATAATTTAAAAAAAAAAATTCTCGACTTTCGCACAGGACTTTAGCAAGCCATTCGACCTTTTCGAGACCCTCTTCGAGGGCATGGGCGGCGGTGGCATGGGCAGCGGCGGCCGTGGCCGCCGCAGCCGAGCGGTCGAGGGCGAGGACCAAGTCTACACCCTCGTCCTCGACTTCAAGGACGCCGTTTTCGGCATCGAAAAAGAGATCGAAATCTCCCGACTCGACTCCTGCCCGACCTGCAATGGATCCGGCGCCAAACCGGGCACAAAACCCTCCAGTTGCTCTGCCTGCGGCGGCCAGGGCCAAGTCGTGTCCTCCGCCCGTACCCCACTCGGCGTCTTCCAGCAAGTCACCACCTGTCCCACTTGCTCCGGCTCCGGCGAGACCTCCATCCCGTGCCCC